TTTTTTTTTTGTTCTAACAAAAACTTAAAATTGTATGATAATGAACAGCGGAATACGTTCGGTGTTATCAGTAGGAAAGTCATCTAAAGTTCCACACTGACAGCAGTGCCATCGCTTAGTTTACCAATGCACTGAACAGTTGAATTTTGCGACTGTTTTGAAAGAACATTCGAAAAGGCAAATTTTTGCCAAAAAGCCTTTTTTTTTTTCATTTTATTTTAGTTTCATTTTTTAAATTTTATTTTTTATTTTAAGTTATATCGGTATGTAATTTTTTTCATTTCATCAAAAAAAAAATTTTTTTTAGCAGCGACTTTTTCTTTTTTTTTTTCTTTTCTTAGCTTTATCAGTTATTGTTTTGCTAGACACCTTTACTTTTCGTCTTGAGTATTGTTTAAGAATGGCGATTTCTTTGTTATCACCAATACTGGTCATCGTCGCATCTACCATTCTTTAACAGTTTAAAACCGAATGTTCACAACGGTAGATTGGATAAGAAGTTGAAATACATTGGAGGTAGTATCAAATATATTAGTCGTCGTCAACAACTTAGTGTTTTAAGTCATTTTTTAACCCAATTAATAGTTGAGAAGCGATAAAGTTGAGGCAGTATAGAAAAAAACTTGTCACTTTTTTTTCATAGTTTTTTTAGGACCAACAATTTTTTAGTTTTAGAAGAGTATTTCTCTTATTATTATTATTATTATTATTATTATTATTATTATTACTGATTCCGAAAAATCTCAAAATTAATTTATTATTATTGTCTTATTATTATTATTATTATTATTATTATTATTATTATTATATTATTATTATTATTATTATTATTATTATTATTATTATTTGGTCAATTTTTTCTGCAGGTAATGTAGTTGGCTGTTTATTTTTTGATCAGCTCTTACTTGGAATCTTTCTCTAATATTTATTTTAAATCTTTTACTTGTTCTACCAATAATTTTATTGCCGTTAACAGTGTACGTAAAGTTGAATAAGAACTTGTTTTAATGTTTGCAAATGCAGGCTTCGCTTGGTTCCCCTTCAGAAACGATGCCAACCAGTGGAGTTCAAGAACATGGCAAACGCCGTGTTGCTTATTATTATGACGGTTTGGTTTTTTACTTTTAGTGAATTTTACTGTCATAGTATCATTTTCGTTTTGCTTAAGGTCTTATTTTTTAGTTTTCTAAAGTTATTTCTGAACACTTGCATCATTCTTGTAG